CAGGGCAGAAAACAAGAAAGATGGATGTAAACGAATTAAGTTTTGTCTTCGGCAGACGATTCTTCCATTATTCGTCCGAAATTAATATTCTGCGTTCAGCAGTATAGGCTAAATACCAAATATTTGTATGTTGCATCTCTTAATTTAGAAGCAGCAATTGTTGTTTATTTTTTAAAATTCAATTTTTTTAATTATAATTTTACAGTGTTGAGCATAATCTTGTGGGTCTTTACAATTTAAAAACTCCTTGAAAAAGTTTTTGTTTGCAATAACGGACCCTATTTGCACAAATTCATAAAAGCGGACCCTGGTTGAAACAATGTAAGTAATGTTTTCACAATTTCACGAAAAACGGACCTTTCACAAAATGTCTGGACAGACCCCTGCATCTTATATCCTAAAGAAATATCTAGTATTAATGATTTTTATCGCAGTGGTTTTCCTTAGTTAAAACCATCACATTATTTTAAATTGTATTTTCAAGACTGCATAGAAAAATATTCTTCCTTGTTATGTTAACTGAAATATGTACATTACTTTGTTAGTCGTTTTGAAGAATGGGCGAGAAAAAAGAAAGAAACATTGAAATGTGTATTAATCAGAAGTTATGATGAAGGCGTGATTTCCTCATTCTGCAGAGATAATTCTGATTTGTCGCAAGAGGACTCTCATATTTTTCACTTGGCGACACTTGTCTACTTGTTTTTTTGTTTTTTTTGTTTCTCTATCCCTGAATTGCATTTACGTTTCTATTTATTGCAGAGGAGGCCCTATGTAAAATGCCCTTTTTAGACGATTGCGCAGACGGATTTTAATTTTACTAATGGGCTTTGTGGATTAAAACCGTGATCACGAAGAGAATTATATTAAAAGTAAAAATACATTCATGAGATGAAAGAAATAAAATAAACTCACTCAAATGTTTAAAAAGTTTAGCCCTCAAAACTTTTTAAGTCTTGTTACTTGGTGAATTTTAATCGAATCCGAATGATTATTTTAATTAGGGTTATTGAGTGCTGAGATTTGATGTTAGTGTATGAGATTAAACTAAAATTTAAAAGTTATTTATTTTTAGAAATACTATTTTTGTATATTAACTTATAACTAGCTTAAGAAAAAGGTTTGGCCATCCAAATTTTTAAGACTAGAAACTTAATGAATTTCAATAAAAACTGAAGTTATTTTAATAAGGGTTATTAAGAGCTGATATTTTATGTTAGTGCATGAAAAAGGAAACTAAAATTTAAAAGTTGTTTATTTATTTGTTGAAATACTAATTTTATATAATAATTAAACTAATATAGAATAACTTACATGTCATTTATTTAATAATTCAACTAATTTTATGTTATTGTTTGATGAAAAAAATTCAATAATTCAGGTGCGTGATAAAAATGTGTTAGCTTTTTAAGTCTTAGAATTCTGTAAATTTTCCTCAAAGCTGAACATTTTAAACTGTCCTATGGAACTGAGATCCTATTTTTGCGTAATAAAAATTAAAAAGAAGAGTTTTAAAAAGGTATTGTGGAAATAAAAAATAAACTAACGAATTATTTTTTTCCAAGTAATGTAAAAGGCACGGCCACATGAACAGGAGTTTCAATGCTTTTAAAAAGCGAAAGAGAAATATCACTTAAAATATCAGGTCATAAATGATGTCAAATATTTTGTGACATTAGAGCTCTTTTTCGCTTTGTTTTAACTTTTTTTTTTTTATATAGACACATGACATTAAGTTAACCTTCTCTTAATTAAGATTTTCGGAATTGGTTTAAAGGATTTCAGAATATTAAAAAGCTCTTAGTATGATTTGATCTGTGCCCGCTCTTTGTTTATGAAACAAGTTTTCAAACTTTTTTAAGTGCGTATTTTTAAATTTTTTTTTTTATTCGCTGGAAACAGAGAAGTCTACATGCTAGATATAAGTCATCATTCAAAATGTTTATAAGACGAAAATACAAATTGTTACAACCATGAATTTGAAGTACAAAAAAAACAACATATAACTTGATCTATGTTATTGAAGAATCCAAAAATACTCCATGATCATATGATATGAATGTAGTTAATTCCTTACCCCTACCTCGCCTTCCTTTCTTCATTCTGTGTTTGAATTATTTAATGAGCTATGACTAATCCTAATGCACGGGATTCAAACCACAGCTATAAAATAACAGCGAATAAAAAAAAACTCTTCCATCGAAGGGGAAATATGATTGGCTTATTATTTTTATTCCCATCATATTACATTACATCTTACTTAACAAATTCTAATTCGCTTATGCGTTTGAAATGCATCTTAACAATGTTTATAGTTCCTTTTTTTTTTTCCCTTTTTTTTCTTCTCCTTAGCGAAGTTTAAAAATCTTAAGTGATAAATGCGCTTGGAATTGAATTATTTACGTGTGAGAGTTTCTGAAAATAAATGGCATTATTTTAAGAGATGTGTTACTGTTTTAAATTTACTTTCACTTCTAGCTTAGTCAAATCGTTGTGGTCCAAATTAAAAAAAAATATATTAGATCAGACATTTATTTTATAACCTTGGAACAGTCATCGAATGTTTGGGTTTACAACTATTAATGTTCTACTCCAGTGTTTCCCAAAGTGTGGTACACGTACCCCCAGTTTAGCGGGGGTACGCGTTCTTATGCGAAATATCTTGCAACAAACGAAAATTTCAAAAAATTTTATTGAAAAAACAAAGCTAGCCATGAAAATTTATGATTACGTATTTTTCTATTGGCTATTTTTTGCAGAGTTAACAGTTAATCAGGGGTGATAGTGAGCCCAAGTCAAAATTCCGGAAAATTTCTTGAGTTAAAAAAAATCCAGTTTAAATTGAAAAATTAGAAAAAAAATTTAAACAAGGTTTTTTTCTTCCTTTCTCTCAATATTTCTTAGTTTACTTAAAATATATTTAAAATTTTACACTTACCTGTACCATTTACACATACTTATGATGACCTGGAGAAGTAATTAAAATTTACAAATATGTATTTCTTTCTTGAGTTTATGATTATAACAACTATTTACTGATAAAAAAATGAATATTAATCATGAATTTAAGCTTATAAAGTATCTCTCTGACTCTCCCTTACAAACAAATAAAAAAAAAAATCTGTTTTTAAATTCCACCTTTGAAAATTTGATTTCCGGAAATTTCTGTGATCAATGATTTTTTTAAACGTCTGGACCTTCGATCTCCGGAAGCTTCCGGATCACTGTAAGCAAAAAATCCGGAAATTCGGATTTTTTCCGGAGCACAATCAACCCTGAGTTAATAACTAAAATATGTAGATAAAAATAAACATTTTTTTAAAAATACATAAATTTTTTTTATTAGTGGTACACAACGTTACGAAAAATTTAGAAAGGGTACACAAAAGTCATAAGTTTGGGAAACACTGTTCTACTCCATAGAACCCAATCTAGAAGAAGCGGGAACTCCTGAATAAAGTATTGGGAGAAATTGCCATCTTGGAAGATTTATTGATGGGACTAACCCGCATTTGCGTTACATGGAGAGGAAAATCTCATACAGACAGTGAAAGGTTTTAATTGTGAATAAGGATTTTGATGTAAACAATAATTAGACAGGTGAACAACATTTAACAATAAATTTAATTAAACAAAAGTAACATCTCGAACACGACATTACTATGCCATCACAACCTTGTACACACACCTAATACGAAAGTAAAATAATACAGTTCTTGTACGTTTTCTCTCTCAGGGGAAAAGTTTAATCATTCTTCCTTTTAATTTGGATTTTTGCTCTGAATCTCACTGTTAGTCTGACGGCAAGGGGACTAACAACCACTGATATTTCACATCAGTACTGTGTTCAGTGCAAGCCCCTATGCGGAATTCGTATCGACCAGCCATCGCTGTGATTCGAACACAGTTCACCTGATTGGAAGGCGACCGCTCTATCCCCTGAGCCATTTAATACTTTGAGTTATTTATTATTTGTTTATTTATTAATTATTGGAAACGAAGTTGTGGTTCCTCACATCAAACTGCAATTGATGACTTATCTCATTAAAAAGGCTTTAACCTATGTGGTGACTTTGAGAAGAAAAAAAAAAGAATGGACTTCTTTCCTTGCTGATGGTGAAACTCTTGTGATCCTAATCTTTTGCTAGCGTTTCATTTGGATGCTTGCACGTTATTGATTAGAGGAGGTCTAGTCTTAAAAAAAAACAACCCTTTAGGTTATAAACTAGGCAGTAGATTTCATATGGTGTTGGTGACTGTTTAAAAAAAAAGCGATTGCAGCTAATTAGAAAACCTGTATTTTATGACATTTTTTAAAATCTATTAAAGTGGATTCTTTTGTTAACAAATGCAGAATACAAAATCCAATTAAAATGTTTTTTAAAGCATTATTTTAAAAGAGTATATATATTTTAATTTTCATCGATGCACATATTTCTCTATGGATGTTTACATTCTTTGATATCTTCCAATTTTTTTTAAAACTCCTTTTACTTTTGAATTAGTTAATTAGAAAAAAATTTATCTTCAATTTCAACTTAACATTGTTTCACTGTGTTTCAGATTTAATAACGATAAATAGTTGTTTTAACAATGAGAAATTTAATCATCTTACAAACAATGAAAGCTGGTAAACTTAACAGGAAACATAATGGTTAAAAAGATTATTGTAAAAAGAAAAATTCTTATTGACTTGATGAAAATCGATTAATACCCTTCTAAGATATTTTTATTATGCATTATTTATTTATAAATATTTATTTTTTTTGATTGACCCAGTTAAAGCTGGTCTAAATCTGAATAAATGAAACGAACAATTTATGATCAATATTTGTTTTTGTAATGTTAAAATAAGTTAATTGTATGCCAAAAGTACGCAATTAAAAAATTAGGATTTGCGCTTTAATAGGGTTTCTTTTCATCCTGTTAATGCGATGTTAACTTGTGTTTAATATTTTAATGAGGATGTTCCATGATAACTATTGAAAAAAATTTTCATCTGGAAACTTGTTTAACTTTTATCAATTATAAATCAAGTTTTTATAATAGATTCTTTAGAAGTGGTAATGCATTGTGGTCTCATGCCATAGGTTCATGGTTCTATCCTTGCACCGGGCATGGTTGATCAATACTGCTTAAGTCCTAGGTTATTGCATCTATATGATTATATTTTCAATTTTAAACCATTGAATTTTCATTATCAAAAATAGATCAAGAAAGAAATTTTTTAAGAAAAATTCTTTTTCTTTATCTATAGCATGAAACTTCCTTAAAGTTTCAGGAATACAAAGGTCTGAACAAATGCCCCTCTTTTTGTAACCCTTATAACAGGGGTGGCGAATCTTTATGCTCCAACATGCCATTTTTTCTTTTAAAAAAAATTTAATGGGGTCATACACGTGCTGACAAATAGTTTTGATTTCGTGGTTAGTGGGTAAATAATAATAGTAAATACTATCAACTCAAAACTCTTTATTTACTACGAAAAAAAAACATTTTTGCAATGTCTCAGTTATACGCGTAATTCCACTTAAAGTAACATCAGTGTGACTTCTGTTGTAGCAGATTAGATGACAAATAACTTGTATTAGGGATATAAGATGTTAGTTTAAGCAGAACTGTAAATTTTTTTTTTGCATACTATTTATTGTTAGCTTGTTTTTTTTTTATGGTTATTAATTGCTTTTTTGGCATTAATTGTGCATTTTTTTTAATTTTAATTTAATTGTTAATATGCTTCATAGTGAACTTTGCAAAATATTGTGTCGCGTGCCATTGGTTCACCATCCCTGCCTTATAACAACCTTGTCTGTAACAATAAATTTATGCTATTAAGAGAATGATTACTAATTTTATCTTACTACTCTGTATCTATGTAGGATAAAAAGTGTTCTTTTTTTCTCTCATTATTTTCGAATCTTGCAGTTATATTTCTATTATCTTTCTTTTGGAAATAGAGCCCTGTATAAAATTGAGTGGCACAGCAGATAGCGTTAAATTAGCCAAAGAAATGTTGCTTGACAGAATGGAGGTGCAGGTAAGTTCATTTTTTTTCTCATTCACTTAAATTAGGTATGCTCTATTGTAGCAATATGCAAAGTTATTCTAAGTACTATCGATTAGTTAATCAGGCTGTTTTCTGTACTATTATTATTGAGTAAATTTGTTATTTATAGGGATTTAATTAGTTATTTACACAGATGTCAAAGGTTATGAAAATGTTTTCTGGAATGTTTTTAAATTCTTATACAGAAGTACTGGAGGCTATTTAAAGTTATGGAAAAGTCCAATTTCCATTTTTTAATTTCTTTATCTCATTACAGATAAATTTTCTTTTTATTTAAAGTCATTGTAACAAGGAAATAGTTTCCATTATTTTTCCAAAACATTTTTTAAACCGTATCTTCATATCTTTTAAACCATGTCTTGAAAGACCGTATTAAAAAGTTTTACTCAAGTTGATCTTTTCGATTGCCGTATTAAAAATAATAAATATGTTAAGAAGGAGTGAAAAACAAGAATGATCCTCATTCAAAAATTCCTTTACAGATAAACAAGTTGAATCTCATCTCAGCATATTACCATGGTATCTGCTAGCATGGAAATCTTAAAAGTTTAAAGACGCTGCCACTTTAGCAGAACATACGACAAAATTAATAAGCAAATATTGAAAACAATTTAAATAGTAGGAAATCATACATTAAATTTCGGATCACAAATTTCTTATGAAATAAAACACTTATATTGGTTTAAAAAAAATTCATAATAACTAAATGAAAAATTCGAATAATTTGTAATGTTTTTAAGTACTGGTTTTTAAATTCAAACAATTTTTAAAAATATTATGCACAGAACTTTAGAAATTTTAAGTAAACATATCTACATGTTGGCTTTAAAATATACTAGGTAGAACTTATATTATAGAATTACCATTGACATAAAGATCGACATTTTTCATCAACTCTTCTGTATTTTTGTTTCAGAGTAATAGAATCATTATGAAAATGGACATTACACATTTTGAACATCCTAGCCTTATTGGAAAAAGTGGTAAACTAATAAAAAAAGTTATGGATTCTACAGGATGCCACATCCATTTCCCAGATGGAAACAAGTATCCTGAATATGAAAAAAGCAATCAGGTAAATATATTTGCCCAACAGCTTAGTTTTTAAGGTAATAGGAAGGGGTAGACATTTTCATGCTTTTTTCAAATTTTATGTTGAATGCACTAATTTGATATTTTAAGAACAAAAAGAAATCTTTAAAGTGTATTTATCTGTGATTTGTTCCATTTATTATTTTTTAAGCAATTGTTTTTAGCTTTTTTAAATATTTTGGCATTAAATAAAATTTATTAACGTTTCGGTTTTTCTTTCACAAATTTTATAGCTATTTTTGAAAATGTTTTATCGATTCTAATTGTGACTAATCATATATTAACTTCCTTTTAATGTGCTATTAAATTTTGTCCAATTTATAACTTTCAGTTTTGGATTGTGATTTTTGTTTTATGATGTCTACTGGATATTTATTTTGGTTTATCAACTGCATATAAACTAAAAATATAATTTTAAAATTACGTTCTTGATTTCATTTCAGGTATCAATAACAGGAGAACCAACTAACGTTGAAAAAGCCAGATTAATGCTTAGGGTAAGAGTTATTTGGGATGTGTTAATTGAGAAAGATTTTGTTTAAGTGAAAATTCAGTTATTATTTTTTATTGGTTTTAATACTTGTTTGCTAAATTTCAAGTTTAAGGATTTAATTCATATCTCTTTGTGTTCAATTTCTTTCTTCTACTCATAAATGAATTTTTTTTGTACTATGTTTCTCTGTATTAGAATACATTGGAAAGTAGTAAAATTAGTGGTAAAAAAAAAGCAAAAATATTGCATCTATTGACAGCCCGGCGGATATTTGTATTTATCAAATTTGAAAAGTTAGTTGTGTTAGAAACTTGTTTCTTTACTAAGCTAATATAAAAAGTAGTGGCCCAGAATCGCTACAAACTATTTTTTGCATTGCGCAAATCACTTTTCTTTATTGAAAATCCAATAACCTGCACTTACTTTATAAATACAGTCAAACTTCTAACCATCATTCATGTATCTTTCGTTTTTCAATATGTATTGTCTTTTTCAATGTTCGCACATTTCCCGACATTTTAAAAAGTATTGGAGTTATTTCATTTTGAGACGAATAACAATACCTCTTGATGATACAGAATATGATAATTAGACTTCATAACAGTTTGGGTAAAATGCCTCAAACAGCAAGCTTAATGTTGTGGTTTTTTCAGTTCAAAATGTAGTTTCAGAAGCTATAGAATGGCCAAGTTATACAGATTAACTAAGTTATTAAGATTCGACAGTTAATACAGACTTGGATATGCTGAACTTTCTGTATTCATGCAAACTGACAAATCTGTTAACAGCAATCTGTTAAACATTTTAAAACTTTTTGTTGGAGATGAAAAAAAAAGTTTAAACCAATTATTCCAAATAGTTAAAATTAATAAATGTGTTAATGCATTATTCTTTTGATTCCTTCATATTTCTGAATAAAATTTTTTTTTTTTTGGATCGACATTTCTTTATACTTATTGTAAATTGAATGTATGAATCATCATTATTTGATATAGTCCAAATTTGTCATTTCCCTTCACTTAACTCTTCATATGAATTGTGCAATGAGAAACAATCGGTCAAGGTTCTAGTGCTTATTATTTTTTAATTTATTTTTTAACACTTTCTTATGTGGAGTTGCGCAAGTTATGGCATTTTCGTTTTTTGATTTACCATGCGAAAGTGCCCAGCTCTGTTGATAAAAATCGAGTATACATTACCATAACAGTAGAAAAATACCTATATAATGTGTAATAGCTTGTGTTAGATTATAATTTTTTTTTTTATAGTTAGTATTCACTTACGATTATTTGATTGTTTTGTTTAATTCTCTTGTTCTGAAAGATTTCATATTAAATGTTGTTAATCTCTTAGAGTGATAAGTTTTGACCTTAATATCAAATTACAATTACAGGCATTGATCCCTATTCAAATCTTCTTTGAAGTTCCTACGACCAGTCAATTCCAGTGTGTTCTAGACCCTTGTTCATTAGAAACCAAAAACATAGAAAAAGAATTTGGTCTGCTGTTGTACTCCTTCCGAGGAAAAAATGGACTAGTTTGTGTAATCCGATGCAACCAAGACAAGTTTTTAAGTCTTCGAAAAGAAATCCCGCTGTTGATTGAATATATTTGCTGTAGAAAAGGAGTAAGTTGTTGAAGCGGCTTTTTATTTTATTATCAATATTCCCCCCCCCTTCTTCCAGATAAAGAATGTTATTTTGAATTCAATAAGCATTTGTTTTCTTCCAGAGAAAATAGAAAATGATCAAATTATTCATTTTCTTAACATTAATTCATTTAACTGATGATTAAAAATGGTAGAAAATTTTATAAATCGAAGAAAAAGAAACTAAGTTAGAAATTGCGTTAATATTCTGCTCACATTATATAGTTTGTTAACAGAAGGTGCTGTTGACTGTAAAACAATAGTTTTAATCCATGTTGGACTACGGTTCCAACCACATTATTTCCATGGACGTTAATTTTATCCTCTGGCTTGAAATCTTGACCTTGGTGAACTTCAGCACCCTCTGTCTTACCTGGTGTCATCTTTGAGTGTTTATCCTTATCAGAGAAACTTTGGTTTACCTTAGAACATTTTTAATCTTAGAGGCACTTAGCATTGAAAGGGGGACACTTGGACTTTTAGTCGACTATTTTAATTATTCTATTAATCTTATTTTAGTCTTATTTGTATTTTAATGTGATTTTTCATATTTTTACCATTTGATGTTTTACCTGACCTTACTTTTAAATGTTTTTACCTGTATTTTTGACACTTTTACTGTTGGTTAAGATGTTAGATGTTTTAAGCACTTTTAATTTTTATTCTGTTTCATTTTTATCATCTTTTCGATTTTGGGATTTTTCCTATGTATATAAATTTTTTTTAGTTTTGATTTTACTTTTCTGTAGTTTTGTAGCGTTTAGTTCACGTGACAACGGGTGAAACCCTTATCCGCGAACTCCTTCGGGGGTAAGTCGGTTACTATTAGTCTTATCCTCTGGCTTTGAAATTTTGATGTTGCAAATGATTTAAGATAATTTATTTTCAGTTAGTTGTTCCATTTGTTACCAAACTACGTAACTATTTTTTAAACTTCGTAACAATAGATAATTGAGTTCCTAAGCAAAGTGCTGCAAACTGTTAATTTCTGTCCCCCCTAAATATACTTTAACTTAATTTTTGATGCTGAAAGCAAGTTTGGGACACCCAGTAACAAAATTACAAAAAACAAGCATGCGGCACTAGCTCTTCCAATTCCAAGATACCTTCTAATAGGAAGTGGACTGTTTCCTTTCTTTTGCAGATGGAGGAAGGTAAGAAATATATGTTAAAGATCTGGCAGTTTCAGCTGAAGCGCATTTACTGAAAACAGGTTTCAGTCTCTGGCGAGCTTGAACTCATAATAAAATTTTTAGAAACTATTTTACTACTTAAAAACAAACGCTTGGTTCAGTTACTAAGGATAAAATATGTAAAATTTATGTAGTGTAAAAAATTTAAACAATCTACTTTTTCTGTCCGCCGGTACTTATTTCTTGTGAGGTTTGTTTGGTATTGTTGAAAATTCCTCTTTGTCACATTTAACTCTAGATTTTTCTCCTCACTATTTTGTTTTATGGATTACTGATGATTAAAAAGGTTTTTAATGATTAATTTCCTTGTTTAAACATAAAAAGCGGAGTGGCGAGATCACAAAATTTGGTTTTTATCTGCCGTATATCTCAAACACTAAGTAAGCTTTATGTTGTGGGGACCGAGTTATCGACAATGCCAACCTTCATCTATCAAAAGGTACCTCTGGTTGAATCAAGTTAGCATGTCTTATATACCAGTGAATTGATGTTTAATTTTTGTAGTGGTAGTTATGCCACAACACTCTCCCACCAGAATTTTATCAGGGATAGAATTCGATGAATGGATACAACTAGTTGCTGTACTTGTGAAAGACCGGGAGAGCTGGTTTTAAGGTCACCAGGTTTTTGAGTGCTGAATGTGAGAGGTGTATTAACTTCACAATCGTAGTCACTCCTGTGTTGCCGTTAGCAGTCGAGTGTATGCATGCAGGTGTTGTGTTTAATCAAGATGAGACCGAGTATCAACAGCGTGAGGAGGTGGATAATGTTGCAGTCACAAGTAGCAAGTCTACTGTTCAATGAGGACCATCCAACGAAGTAGGCGTTACCAGATAGAAGTGGGCGTTACTGCATGTTCAAATCACGTCCGGAGGTCACCAATGGAGGGGGCGGAGTTATCGACAATGCCAACCTTCATCTATCAAAAGGTACCCCAAATTGAATCAAGTTAGCATGTCTTATATACCAATGAATTTATGTTTAATTTTCGTAGTGGTAGTTATGCCACAATGTATTTCGTTGTGGGGTTAAAATTTTTCTTTATCCACAGTAGATTCGATCAGTACTTTTCCTGACAGACATACTGAAACGGAATGTATTTCAATTTTATATAAAATGCTACCTTTATAATAACATGCATTTGAAAGTATTCCGATTCTTCGAGTTTTCAGTACTTTGTATAAGTTTATATCATTATATTCAATCATGTTAGCTCTTCACATTTGTTGTTTTGTAATTTTTCATTGCCCAAAATATTATTAATTCTTTGTTTTATTTATTTTTTAAATTATCAGTTAATTATGAACTGTTGCAACTATATTGTGACAATTTAATTTTGTGTTTATTAAAAGATTTTTGTAACATTAGAATTAGTGAATGTATTTTCTCTGAATTGATTTTATAATACTTTTAATTCAAGGTTGATCTCCCACCTGTACATATCATAACAGACATAATGCCTCAGCATCAGAATTTCGTTAAAGGCAACAATAACTGCAATTTGGAAGATATTAAGAAGAAAACTGGGGCAGATATAACTTTTCCAGATTTTTCTCTTTCTAGAGCAATGAGGAATGCTGTAATCATCAGTGGAAATTTAGACTGCGTATATATTGCCTGGCAGGATTTGATGGTGAGATGTCATTTTGGTTGTTTAAAATTTTCCTTTTCAAATATTCTGTGATGTTGTGTGAGGAAACAGCATACACAAATCGCAAATAATATTAGCATGCATGAAAATTAATTCTATGCTAAAAAAATTTATTAGAATCAAATAACAGAATCTTATAGAGTGAAAATGTGCGACTCAAAGCTCGTGTTAAAAGGAATAATGTCTCATCTCACTACCCGTAATATAATTTGTCGGACCAAACTGATGAAGCTTTTTTTGTTCCTTGGAATGGCTAATAAGCATAAGGAAGTGTCCATACTTGACTGACATTTAAGCAGTGGTCTGAAAAACTACATTGCAAATATTTAATTTAAAACAATACAGAATCATCAAATTTTAAGATTAGATTTTTTATTATTAAATGGGTAAGTGAAATTTTTCGTTATTACAATAATTTGTCAACCTTCCACTTCGGCATTAGACATCTTAAATTTTTTTGTCATTTCAAAAGTATATTTTAACTAAAAAAGTTTTTGAGAAACTAACTTCATGATATCTTTATTTAATCCTTTTTTTTTCTCTTGTTAATGATACACTTACATTTTCAATAATTTTGAGTAGCATTTATGTTTATTATGTATTGCTACAAAAAAAGTTTTAATTCAATAATATGGTTTAAATTGTATTGTGATGGTTAAAGTTTAAAAAACACTAATTAATAATAATATTTCAATTAAATATGTTTATGTAATTTAACCAATTATAAAATAAAATTTCTCAAAGTATCTTGAAAGGATCAGAAAAATCTGATTTAAGTCAAATTAATCTGCTTTTTATATTTATATTGTATATTTTTTTCATATAAATCAAGAATTTTGATGTTCAGTTTTTTTGAAGTGAACCCTCTTTCATTCTTCTTAATCTATATTTTTTCCTCATCTAGAGACTAACACCAATTTTTTTTCTTTACTTAAGTGTACTTAATTTAGAAACTTTTTTATCCTGAATTTAAAATGCTACTAGCTGAAAAATAGGCTTAATAAAGTGCAATTTTTTTAATATTCAAAGCTTACATATGTTTAAATTTTTTTGATGAAAAAACTAAGTTTTTAAACTTCATATTAGTAGAGTTTTATTTTGGAGTTAAGTTTTAAATAGAATAAGTTCTCATGCTGATTGAATTATTTTATTTTTTAAAAACCTTATTTTAATTGACATATAATTTTTAATTTTCAACTTTTAGAATTGTCTTCCAATTACCGTTACATTCGATGTAAATTATACCCGAGATACTAAAGGTGGTAAGTAATCCTAGATTCAATTCCTTGTTTATTTATTTATTTAGATGCAAAAAGTGAACATGATTATTTATATTCTGTAATAAGTGTCAGGCTTTCATAACAATACAGTGTACAAGTTATATTTCCAAACATAAGTTTTGAACCTTTATATTTTTCATAAATTACCTTTTTTTATCGTTAAAAAAATAATTTAGTTTATTAATTAGAACTCAGATGACTTGTTATCTCCAATGCATGTTTACTGTTTGAACAATAGGAAGGTCTTATAAATGAAACTAACTCATTTCATTGCTTTCTTGTTGGCAATTGTGTCCTTGTCATCTCTATTCTGCCTACATTAATGCACCTTTTTTTGTCTGCACTTAAGATAAATAATTAATTTAAAATGAAGAAGTTTTTAATATTTTTATTTATTATGTTTTTAATTTTAAGGATTTATATTATCATGTCTAAATAAGGTTAGTGTTTAATTAAATTTTCAATAAATATTCAAATATTTCTGTTAATGAATCATATTAAATAAAAATATAATTCTACTTAATGTTCACAAGTTTTAAATTGTCCCATGAGTAATGCCAAATAACAAGGCGTTCTTTTATTTAAATTCAGTAGTTTAAATTTTGCCCATATTTCTTTAAATATTTATCATGATTTGATTTGATGAAGTTTATGTGACAAACTAAATAGTTTGTCATTCCTACCTAAACTCTCCCCTCTTTTTAATGTATGTATAATATATATATGCTTTAATTTTTTTTCTATAAAATATAAGTAACTTGTTTATATACAAGTCATTCATCAAATTGAGTTCTGCTTAATTCTGTAAAGATAAGTAAGCTGATTATTCTGATTTTTCTGATTATTATTTATTTTTGCAGACTACATGAACTTTTTACAAGATTGTGGTGTTATTGCATTTACAAATCCTAAGCCAAAATATCATGTTAAAGTATGTATTGTCTTGTTATAGTTTTTTAAAAAAAATTATTGATTGTGCATAAAGATAATGCATTTTGAACTAAACTTTTAAGTTTTATAAAGGCTATTTAATGGTAACATTAAATCAACCATTTATTAGAAGAATTTTGTTAAACAAGGACGTAGCATAATCAGTGCTTCTAATAAACAAGTTTGCCTTTAAAACATTTTTTCATGTTTTTCTATAAATGATCAGGCTGTAAGCAAGATCAATTCATAAGTAAGTCCCTAGTTAAAACTTAGGTTCCTAAGGTGTCTCCTAGTGAGCACTGAAGGCTTGGGGTTCACTGGGAATTTGAGCACTCTTCAAAATTTCTTATTTTGTAATGGAAAATTATTTGCACAATGTTTTTAGACAATAAGTTATTATAATTGCAGTCTGGGGATCAAGATGCAGACAGAAAGTAAAGGTTTTATTAACAAAAAGCTAACAAACACATACAAATTTTAAAAAATGCCATCTGGCAGTATTAAAAAGAAAAAGACTTCATAGCAATCCTTCCCTGGGAATGACAACAATCTCCCCCTGTGAGAAGGATTTTACTTTTTAACGCATATAACAATATACATAAAAATTATTAACTCTCAACATAAATTTCTAATTAAACTTATTTCTTCCAAAGAGAAAATTAACTTCTCAAAAGTTACAGCTTATCATTAGTATCAGAATATTAACATAATCAACTAAAGAATTTGGTCGTAAGAAAGTGATAGTTGCGTACATACAACAACTATCGCTTTCTGACGGCCAAAGTCTTCAGTTCGCAAACGAAACTAATGCTAAAATTCAATGCGAAAAAATTCAAAGCACATTTACTGGTAAAACAGAAGATCGAAAAATCAATGCAAGTAACGAAATAAAAAATATTGAAATGAAAGAAATGTTTCAGACTATATTGCAAGATCACGTGGACTTCAAACGAAATGTTCGTCACTGGGACTGCAAATTACAGAAAGATAACTTGTTTATTATACTGTTAGAGGTTTACGAAAAAAAATTTCATGAATAAGAGAAATCCTGAAAACCCAACGTGAAAAACAAATGGAAGAAATTTTAGAAATACTGCGGCAAGAAGAAAACATTTTATCAAAATTAAGAAATGATATTCCTAGACGAACAGAAGCATTCGGAGTAAATCATAAATGTAAAAACAGAAGTATGAAAAAATGTTTCATCTGCCATAAAACGAACTACGCTCAGCTACCAACCGTAGCCTGTGAATCGAGATTCAGACAGAAAGTAAAGGTTTTATTAACAAAAAGCAAACAAGCACATACAAATTTTAAAAAGAAAAAGACTTCATAGAATCCTTCCCTGTGAATGACAACAATAATGATATATTGAATTGAAAATTTGTAACCAGTGAAACACTTCTTTGCTTGCTGTTTTATGCAAAAAATTATTTTCACCGAGAAAAATGAAGTTCACAAATTTAAACTACACTTTTTAAGTTTTTAACAACTTATTATGAAATTTTTTGCTGTTTATTCTTCATGAAGATAGTTAAAATATTTAAATTTTTCATAATTATTTAGTTAAAAGTTGTTTTATGTTCTTAAGAAAATATCTTAGGTTCTGTATAAATAATTCTTTATCTATTTCTTTTTTCTAATTATAATGCAATAATGAGTCCATTTATATCTCCATCGTGGTTATATCTCCAGAACGAAATGCATTTCACACAAGCTACTAAAATTCTATTTATTTTCACCTATGATGTCTTGTAAGGAAATTATTAATTAATAAAAAAATAATAAATATAATATCTTCCGCTAATATTATAAGGCTTAAAAAATATTAGATGAATTTCGCTGAAAATGGAGTTAGTAAATCTGTCGCCATGATTGAAAGTATCGGTAGGCAGAATGTTCATGATTTTATACTTTTTAAAATAAAGCAATTAATGCATCCAATATAACTTTTCAGTTAAATTTCTGAACATGGAGGCAAAACTTGCTAATTTCAAAAATGATCTAAACAGGTTTTTAATAACATAAAAGCATTTACGACATTGCTGTCAAGACAAGATGATACATAAGTACATGAAAACGAGAGATGCAAGAACAATAGATTGAGGTTCGACTGCATATTTCAAACCATAAAACTGCAGTATGGTAAAACTTCAATCAGTAATATAAGTTCAATGATGCCAATTTGAAATTATTTTCTTACATAAGTTTTTTAACAGTGAAAACCACAAAAAAGCTTTGTGTATCATTCTAGGTAATTATTTAAAGTTAATATCAAATTGGAAATTAAATAAACTAACTCCAAAGTCATACAGACATAATTTTTTTTTTAAATATTGTTTAAATGGAATAATATTGAAAGTCAATTATTGTATACAACTTTTTTAACTGGTAATTTTGCAAAATTTTTTTATATATTGCATACAACTTTTTTAACTGGTAATTTTGCAAAATTTTTTTATAAAGTATGACAGCAGTCTCAAATTGTTTGTCTATCTTGCAATTTTTCAGCACCTATTGTTGATATTGGTAAAATAAAATAATGCTTGGTGTGTTTATTCCTTACAGTCTGTGTCACTTCGTGGTCCAGAAAAGTTTTCAAAACAGATGCTTCAGTATAGACAACACCTGTTGCGACTCTCTACATTGAGCTTTAGTTCGGATATCGAACAAGCAAACTTTGCTGCCAAATTAATTTCATCTTCAACAGAATACCTTCGTTCCACTTACAGCGCTATTCGTAAGTGCTCAATTATTTATTTTCCTTTAAATTTTAGAAATTCCACTGTTAATTATCAGAGAGCTAATTATCACTGTTAATTATCATATGTTTCAAGTGCTCAAAAATGGGCTTCTGTTGAATGCCTGAAACATATTGACAGTTAATGCATTGTTTGTCATGCAGAGGCATTTAACTAAGATGCACTTTAGTTTCATTGTTTGCACTCACAAAGCTAGTGTTGTTTAAGGAAAATTGTGTTATATAGATCGTCTACTGTAATAATTTCGAATTGTAAAGTCATGTATATAATCATTAAAAAAAGTTCATTATTTTCTAATTAAACTAAGAAAGATTTAAAAATGTGAACCTATTTATGAGTTAAAATAATGTTGAATATAAATCTCCCAAGTTGAAAATTATTAATTTTATATTTAAATTTTATTTTTTAATTTTATTTTTTAATTTAAAATGTCAAATGATTNACTTTTTTTGACGTAGGGGGTAAGGGTACTTTTATTCTGAGTTCAGGGTCAAGTTGAATTCACTCAGTGATGCGGGAAGGTACTGATTGTTTTGATTTACGCCCGTTTCTTTTTTGTTTTTTTTAACGCTGAAACTGTTTATAAAAAGTTTTTGTTTTTCAATTATATCATTGAAAGAAAAAGAATTTTTTGAGTGCTTGAAAATTTTTGTAAAGTGCTTGAAAAGTTTTTAAAAAGTGCTTATTTTTGATTCAAAGATTTGGCTACGCACCCTGTCTATAACAGATGTAAATTGTTGCAATCAAAATTGTTTATGCAGCAACTCTTAATAATTGTTTGTATACAGAATTTTTTTCCTTCCTTTCTGCAAATTACACTGTTATATTTGTTATTTATTTATTCTTTTTTTCTAAAATCTGATTTAAATTTACAGCACCATCCATTGTTGGCCTTATATCAAGCAAAAAAGAAGTTGCCAATTTAGCTGAGATACAAGGTCAGAACCCCTGTTTATAGTTTGATTAGGATGTATTGATTTAAAAAAATCCATTTATATTTGAGATGATATTGTCTTGTTTACTAATTACTTAAACTGAAAATCACTTTTTTAAAAGTATTATCGCAATTCATTTTATTGTAAATTTATAACACTTTTTAAAAGCTTCAGTTATAAGACTTTATTAAAAATGTTAAAACAAAATTTATTCATGGTACAATTGTAGGAGATAGTTTTTTTTATCTCCCTTTTAAACACACACTACTTGATTACATTTTAAAAACACATGGCCCCATCTCAGTCACCCGTTGCCACCCTCAGCAACAAGTGAAGGAAAAATATCACTATGGTGATTTTGGTTGGTTGGCGCGGGGCCGGAGGCCATAGCGACCAACCCGTTTGTGATAAAATCTTAAATGTGACTTTTTTTATGTCCTTGGTTGCTTTCAAATTATTATATCTAATAAAAATTAATTATGCTCTAAATAACCTATTTCGAAACAGTTAGATTAAAAGTTAATTCTTCATAACAATTGTCATATTTACCTTATCTATTTTAAAACAAAAAAAAAAATTACTGTCCTTGCCGACAGTGTTTCCATCTGCATAACTCAGTTTAATAAAAAATATTTGCAGGACAGCTTTGCAGTAATTTACTCTTTTGTTTGAAGATAGCAAGAAGCCTAATTTTTTAAATTATAATTTTTCTAGAGCAGATTTGTTAGCCTTCAGCAACTGATTTTAGGCAATTTTTTTTTACCCAGTTTAGCAACAGCTGATAATAATCTGGCTTGAGTTATAACAAGGTCATCACAGAGATGTTGATGAAATTATGACATTGGATGACATAGGCAAGATTGTATTGGATGTGAATATTTGATGACATTGTGATGATGGTTATGACTGTTTCCTATATCCACAGATGGGAGTAGAGTAATGACGTGTTGAATAATTTATTGGTGTTTTGGTTTTCTATGTAGCATTTTCCGTGGAAATTTATTTATTAAACTTAGGTTTTAGGATTAAATTTTGTGACTTTTTTTTCTATGGAATGTATGTTTTGGTGGGTGTAATTGAGTTTTGTTAGGTGATTATTGGTCGAAGTTGCGCCTTAATTTGAGTTTGTATGTAGTGCTTTAATTTGAATTTGTATATTTTTTGTCTTTTCTGGTTTATCCTCACCTGCTGAGTCCCACAAAAAAATTTCTGCCGCACCCATAAAACTCATTTAGAGCAGCCAACTTAAGCACCAGAACGGGCCTGAGGTTTACTTTTTTATCATCAAAAATCGGAGATCGACTTATGCATTGAGGCATAGGGTTATTATCTTTTGAGGCATGTAAAAAATTACCTGTCAATGTGTTATTTTGAGCATTTTTTTCCCATGACTCTTGCATATCAAATCTGTAGCATAGTAAAAAGGCTGTTTTTTTTTGTAATTTTTACGAACTAAATAAAGATGATCAGCTACAGGAAAGCATATAATTAATATGCACTGACAGAAATTAAAAATCAAAACGTTGTGTAAACTGCATAAATCAGAGTTTTTTAAAAAATTTCTTTGATAAATTTTTTCTTCAAGTTTTTAATTGTATTAATTTAAAATTTCCGTGACTGATCCCAACTGTCTCTTCCATATAAAACATACTGTTTATATATAAAAATAAAGTTAGTTGTTGATGATATATTCCTGAGTTAAAAGTTTTTATGGATACCTAAGAATTAATAGAAGAACTTTTACATAAACTTTTTAACAGGCAATGCATTGAAAATGTTCAAACATGTATTATTTTAGCGAAGCTGACACTGTATAGAGGATCTTATTTTCATGAAGTACTAAAAACAGAAAGGCCTTAATGGTCACCATTTTCAGTATTATTTATCATTCTAGAAGATGGGAGAAAAGTGTCCAGTCTGCAGAAGATTATGAAGACCGTTATGGGGAAATTCTATGTTCAAAACTGGAAGTTTTGTTCCTTTTGGTATTTTATTTGACTATAACATTTCTTTAATTATGTTACCAAAGTGCTTGGGGGTATTGTCGCGATTAGTTATATGATCAGGGAAAATCTCAAGGGGGAAAAAGGATTGTTTCTTGTTTGAAGCACCTTCATGTGTTCATTTTATTCTTTTGCATCATGATTAAATACATGTGTTAGAAAATGTCATGGTCTTGTTATTGGTTTATGTAATCATAGTTTTTCTGTGCAGGTTCAAAGTACTTTATGGAATCAGAAAAGTCTGATTTTGATTTGACTCTAATGCAAAATAATAATTGGACCAGTAATATGCCAAATAATAAAGGTTAGTACTTTTTTAAGTATATTTATGTGATGATCTTTATGTTAAATGATCATCTTTAACTAAGAAGGTTTATGATACATGTATATTGAATTTTTAAAAATATGTCTGTTCTTTAAAACCTACTTTAACTTGAACCGCAGTGTTCTAGAATTGTGTGTCTCAAGAATTTTTTTTTTTTTTTTTAAGAATTGGTTTTGAATAGTTTTTTGTGTAAAATAAGAAAGCTTCTTTGTAAAAATTTTATTTGGAAAAGAAAAGGAACTTACCGTAAAATTAGAAGAAAAAAAATGTTTAACAAACAAATATAGGGTTTCTGGTAATTGTATTTCGTGGTCTTTCCATCTTTCTTATAATAGTAAAATGTATTGATTTATTTATTTTTAGAACTGTGTATCGGAACAACAGTTGAAGAAAAATGTGACTACGAAAAACTGAAAGTTATGGCTGCTAGAGGTTAGTAATTGCATTTTGTTACAAGATTTATTAATAAATAATTAGTATTATTATAATTTGCTATTTATAATTATTTTGCTGTATTAGATTCTCCAATAATTAGAAAAATCTCATTTAAAGTGTAACAATTGTATCTCTCTTATATTCAGTTTATCTATTTTTCACCTTTATCTTTATTGTAACTTATACATGTATATTAACATAAAGAAACATCTTAAATTATTATCTTTTATTCGATCGGTTAACTAGTTGGTTCAATAAAGTATGGTATCGTTAGTCCAGCACTTACTAGTTAATAGTGGAGATGTATCAGGCCCTAAAGTTTTCCTGGGTCGTGGTACACAGTGAAAATTGAGTCTTTTAACTCAGCTGGTTTCAGTACCAGGTAAAAATTTTATTTGTTGCCTGGCCAGTTCCAGATATGATATTTATTCAAAATAATGTAAGAATCATATAATTTTCCATTGAACAGGGTATAGTTCAAAGGAAATTTATTGCACTCCTTTATAAATAAAAACATATTTTTATTTTCAGTTTTTTAAAAAAAATCTTAATTTAAAAATAAGTTAAGAGATGTAAGATGATTGATATAAAACTTTTCATCTACTAAAATGGAGATATCTGCTTATAGTGAACATTGGATTTTTCATTTAGTTTATTTAAATTTCCTATATAATTTATTAATGTAACTTCTGTTGAAAATTGACTATTTTATAAATATTTCAATAAAATTATGACGTATCAAATGTTTCAATTATCAGAGTTTAAATTTTTAATCATTCAAATCCCATAAATGTAATTGCAATGAGATATACTTAAGTACAATATCTTAAATTTTATGATGCTCAATAAGAAATTTTGTCTTTTTTAAAAATGTTGAATAGAAGTTTCATATAGTGCTTTTGCTGCTCTTATTGTTATGATTCTATAGAAGTTTCATATAGTGCTTTTGCTGCCCTTATTGTTATGATTCTATCTCTGTGCACTTCTATCTATTTGAAAAAACTTTTTCAATGAAACCAAAAATGTATTTGCATTACATGAAGGGAAAAAAACAAAGTTGAAACTTTCCATTGTCAGTACGAAAACTTTAACCAACCAGACTGGTTTGAAATTAAATTTATTGAGCTAACAAGTAAGAGATACTCTTTCTAGTAAAATCTTAGTTTAAAAGTTACCGATGGCCAATTTCAGTCATACATAGTTCTTTTCAACATAAATGCAAATCAACTTTTAATGAAAATCTTAATAAGTTTTTCTGAATGAGTTCATCATTTAGTAATGTAAGCATAAAAAGCTTTTTTGTTTCAAAAAATTTATAAATAAATTTTTGGTAAAAAAAATTTTTTTGTTTTAATATTTTTAATTAATTTCTAATTAAGAAAGAATTTAGAAAATTTTAATTAATTTTGAAAATTTTATTATTTTTAATTTAATTATTAAAATAATTAAATTTTCAAATTTAATTACTTAATGATTAATTTAGAAATAGTATTAGAGTTATTAATGTGCCATTTGTAAGAAAATATTGATTTTTTGTTTGTTATCCATTATTTTTCTCTGCAATGCTACACCTCCAAATCCAAATGATAGAAACTTATTTCATACTCATTTTCTGAAAGCAAATTTGAAATGATTGTAATGCATGCACTAAATCTTATTTTTCTATACTTTGCTTTGAATTTTAATCATTAAAGTTTTAATAGTTTTAAATATCAATACAATCAATAATATATGTATTTCTAATTTAGTATTTATTTACTTATCATATTAATTTAGTTATAATATTTATCAGCTTTAGATTTCTGAAATTGCATATCTTTCTCTATAGCGAACATATTTCTCTGTCCCAAAGGTGTCCACTTTTCGTAGGTTTCCCTGAATTGAAATTCTGCAAAAGAGTGAAATAAGTCATTCATAAACCAGTTATTTCAGCTTGATTGTTAAGAAATTCAAGGAATGCATGAATTTACAAAACTAAAAGTATTTTTAAAAATAATGTTACTTTAAAACTGAAACCGGTTGTAAAAACTGAGTGCCAGGTAGTGAAACTCTTTTGCCCGGTTTTGATAATAGCTAGATAATAAAAAAATTGGCAGGTACCCAGTGCAAAGTAAATATTTGTACATAGTGACCTTAAACTATCAAATTCATTTTTGTTAGGATTAAGGGCTCTTATACTGATTATCCCTGTGGCAGAATCGCGGCGACATTGCTGCAGAACATTACAGAGTTCTTGCGGAAAGATTTTTCTGTTAAAAAGCAAAGAATTTTCTTTTCTGCAGAAATTTACAGGTAATAATTAAATCTGTATTTCTGGCAGTTATTGATTTTCACGTGGCTTTTTATTTTTTATTTTTATTTTTAATATCCCGATATATTTCTAACAATATGGAAAATTCCAATCGTGTATTTGAGTATTAACTTTTTAAGGCAATAATTCTATCAAATTTTTGGCAGATATTGCTATTGATTTCTCCAGAGTTTTGAAATCCGATATTTTTTATATGATATTATTTATTACAACAACCTAATTTTGAAACAAAACACTAATTTGAAGAATCCGATTCCCGTAATTTTGTAGTCTGATCTTTTTTTCCGGCAACTACTACTACTGATTTCATGATTTTTAATTATTTTTTTATTGTGATGATTACTTACAAAATGAGAAGAAAGAAATAATTTGTGCGTTACNCCCCCCCCCAACAAAATGCAAGAAAATCACCCTTAATATTAGAATAAAAAATTATTGCATGTTAAATTTTAAAAAAATTAGTTTTTTTTTTTTTTTTTTTTTTTTTTTTTTTTTTTTTTTTTTAAACAACGCTTTTTGTTATTTTAAATTAGTAACACATATGTTTTGTTATTATTAAAAGTATCTTGCAAAATGATTTTAGTGCCAGAGAGTTTTGTCACTGAAAGCAAGAAAAAATTCTGCTACAGGGCTGAGATTGTATAAATTCTGCTACAGGGCACTGTAAATTATATTCTCTTAGTTATTTCATATGTGCAAGAAAAAAAAGTAAACTTTGTAAATTAATATCTTATTGGATTTGTAGCTTCTGAATATCTACAATATTACAAAATAAGCAGATCCGACTGTGTAAAAGCTTACATTATTTTATCTTTATAATTTTAAGCTATATTTATCTTCATTATTTCATATGGCTGTACAACAGTCTTAATTACTTCACAGAGATGCAAGACTTATTCCACAAGTAATGTCTTAATTATTTTCTATTTTGCTGGTGCAAGGTCTATTATATTAAACTATACTACCTTAGTTATTTCTTATGGTTATGCAAGACCTATTATATGAAATTATATCTTTATTTATATAGCTGTTCAATATCTATTAAATGAAATTATAAATTTTTCATTTCATAAATTCTTATAGCTATAAAAATATATTATCTTCCCATATTTATACTGCATATTTAATTCTCTTATTAAAGCTATGCGGAGGCCTATTGATTCACTGGATTCAACACCACAAGTACCTTCCAGTTTATGGGCTGGGTATGGTTTCTCACAGTCAATGCCTGCTGCAGTGATAAAAGAAAATCTCTCTAGCATAAATCATTATTCATATGCACCTTTTGATGTAATTATTTTCCTTTTTATAATATGAAAAGACAGAATGATCGAAATTCTTTTTTTTTTGGCATTCATCAATTATTTAAAATAGTTTTTGTTAAGTATATAAATAATGAAAAGAACCCGAAGTTTTATTTAAAAAAAAAGTAATTTATGAAATTTTCATATTTTGATTGTAAATAGTGTTTTACACTTAATATTGAGATATTTAGTTAATTTATAATAGTTTCTTGTATAAATATTAGCTAGTTGTATTAAAGACTAGAATATTTTTAAAAAAAATCTGTTCTATTAAAGATCAAGAATTATCTCTTTATTTTAAACACCCAACTGTAACCAATATAGTAATTCAAAACCTAATTTGGCAGTATAAAAGCTTTGGCAACTTAATGTTAAAAGATTTTTTTTTAAAACTTTATTGTCTTAAAAATCTTTATTTTTCAATCTCAATACCAAAAATTTATTAAACAAACTGTATAATTTTTGAAATTACCTGAATGATTTAAATGAATATTTTTTTTTTTTCAGTTACTGATTTTTAGTTTTCTCTTAATCTTTATAATTAAAATAAAATTTCTGTTATTTACAGTCCAATTAAATGGAATTGAAGATTTTTAGAAATAAAGTTGCTTAAATTGAATTTTTGTTCAAAGCAAATAAATTTTTACCAAGCAATTAGTAAACTATTATTTATTAAACTAGTTCTCTTTCTTTTAAGATGACAATAATTTAACTAATTAAGGTAAAAATCAGTAGGAAGTTGAACTGGCTATGCTTACTTTTCTAGTCTTTTCCACTTTCCATTATTTTGTTCTATGATATTTTTATTTAAACATGCACTTGAATAGTTTTTTCTTACTTTTTTAGAATAGCAGCAATACTAGTTCTGAAGATAGTGACACATGGGAGACAGTTGTTTTAAAAGATTGTATGCCTACCCAAAGCATTTGGTCAAATAACAGTAAGAGTAAACAATTCTATATATCATACAAATTTTTAGAATTTCTTTTTAAAAAATTCTACTTGCTTTAAAAATTTTGCTCAGTAAAGGAACAAAAAAAGGAGAAAAAAAAAAGAAAAAGTAGTAAATCTTACTTTTCTGTAACCATTGATAATTTTTAAAGTATAAGATAAGGATTAATTTGCTTTTCTAAATCCAGTTAGGAAACTTTTTATGTTATGACTTTGCTAAAAAAAATATATATATGTAATAACAGGGTTACATCCCTGTAATCATTGGTTATGTTTAGCTTAAATAATTCAGTTGTGAGCCAAAATACATATTAAATAGTTTTATTTAAAAGTAGGCTGTTGGTGGTAATAGCTCACACCCATTTCTCCACACTGGAGGGGGTGGACAGCACTCTCGAACAATTCAGACAGAGTTTCTCAGGATCACATCATGTTGAAAAGAGACATACAAAAACTATTGCTCCTGCATTATATACTAACAGAAAATGAGGTAAAAAGGCTCTGCATACCTTATAACCCTACTCATTATGGAAAATCATTTAATGCTTCCTAATATGGAAGTGAAAGAGGGAAAGATTTTAATAATAATTCCTCCTTTGAAATATAAATCTAATTATGATTCAATGGTATGTTTTCAGCCTTGAAGTCCGAAAATAGAATATCTCTACACCTATTCTTTACCAAAGACATTTTATGAAAAGAGTTTTAATGCTTTTATTAATACGAAAGTATTTATAATTTTTTGTATTACATATATATCAGTGATTGCCTTGTTTATTAATATTAATTAAGATTTGACAGCTTCTAATATTTAATGCTTCACAGTAGTTTTAATTAAAAAGACTTATGTACCTAAGTTAAATTATCATTTGTACCTATCACATAATTCAATCAAAATCTTAATAGTATCACATACATATAAGAATTTCCCATAAAAGATGACTAAAATAAAACATTCCATAAGTATTTGGATTTATAAACTATTTTCACATATTTATTGTTTGCTCTTATGGCTATGCTTACTAATAACTGAATGTAAATTTTTTTCCCTTCTTTTTTCTTTTCAGAAGACTGTTTGTTTAGTCACAGCAACTATTTTGACTTCCTTAGGGATACTTCATTTACATCAAAAACTGACATGACAGAGGGAATTCTATCTGAACTACTGTATCAGCACAATTTGCAATATTACAGTGACATTTTCATCAAAGAAGAAGTAAGTCATCAATATAATTCATCTTTATTCGTGCTATATTATTTCAAGTTTAGTAAATTTAATTCCTTTATACGTATTTTTACAGTTTGTTGAAGAGGAAAACAGCCATTTATTATAGTTATTCAAACTTACAAATTATTTTTGTTTAAAGAATTTATTTTTTCATTATATGATATTAAGTAATTCTAAGCAAAATAAAACTCCCAAGTATTTCTGAAATTAAAAATATTATATTGTATTATTCTTTTAAAATAAAATTTGCTTTTATTAAAGTAGAGCAAGCTTTATTTTTTTCTATTTATCAGTCACACTTTTTAAAAGTACTTTGGTTTATTTGTTATGTTCCAAAGTCAATATGTCCTGATAATTGTCCTATTTTTTTCTGAAATGAACCAATGTCCAAATATTACATTTCTATCATTTGTTTTATGTTCTTAGGTTGACTATGAGACTTTTTTGCTGCTAAATGATGAAGATTTACAATCTCTGGGAATACCTTTCCATGCTAGAGTCAAAATGATGTGTTTGATTAAAGGTAATACAATTTCTGTGTAAAATTCAGTGAAATATTATTATATGAATGAATTCTATAAGCATGTTGAATCTTAATTTCTATTTTACAGTTTTTTTTCTATTAGTACAAATTATAAAATGATGCTGATCAAAAGATATTGATTTCGATTAGAAATTCCATTTTTAAAAATAATTTCATTCTTAAAATTACTTCCATTTTAAAAAATAAAAACAAACATGAAATGTTTTGTGGTATAAAATTTAATAGTCAAATGAGTTTAAAATTTCATTAATAAAATAAAAGTTTATTGTTAATTAATGACTCTCTGGTGTATTACCTATTTTTTTTTCCTGGTGTATTTTTATTATTTATGAATTTTAATAGTTTTTACTGTGTTACAAATAGAAATATCAAGAATTCTATTTGACTGTAATTTGGTTATAGGACATATTAAAAATATTCTATATTTAATAAAAATATCTTATATTTAATATATCCTATAATTTGGTTATAGGATATATTAAATATAGGATTATATTAAAAATAGGACAATATTAAAAATAGGGCAATATGATCCCTATTATTAGAGCAGGAGAGCAATCAAAAGTATCAATCACCTTCTAGCCTAAACTATTTCTGAATTACATCGGCCCCACATACTTAGAATCCTAATCCGTCAACAAAAAAAAGTATGATTATTCGGCGAAGGTAGGCTTTAGTGTCATGTTTTCATAACTCAAAATATTTGTTTACCTTATGTTTCAAAATTGTTGGACTATTTTTAAACAAAATAATAATAAATAATTATTAACAACTATTTTTTACTTGTAATTACCTTCAGTTAAACTAATTATTCAACTGTGTGCAAGCGTTTTGATTTGCTGAACAAGTTCTTGAGATATAAAAAAATGGGTAAAAAATGAAACTAGCATCACTTTCCTGCCTTAACTATAGGTACCATATATTTTTCGAATCACAGCTAGCTACTCTCACGACAATGTAATCCAAATCCGTCGGGGGTAGAAAAGCTATGTTTATTCAGATGAAGTAGGTTTTTATTACTTCTTGAGTTTGTAACTAAAATATCATCTCCACTAATTAATTGGCATATTTGATATCACTCCCGTGAAGCATTCAGTTTGGTTCCTAGTACACAAATATCTTATCATGAGATCAATATTTATTCAGGGTGTTTTGCTTAAATTTTGCGATTGGGTTACGGAAATTTATTTCTGAAGTGAATGAAAGCATACTTGCATAAAATATGTGTTTTCTTTGACATAACTAACTTTTTGTGTGATATAAATTTAACTTTTGTAATGGTCTTGTGTCTTGTTTTCAATCTCTGTTATATTCGCAATAAAAATCGCAAATTTTCTCAATTTTTTAAAAATGAGCATCTGTTTTAATTTTTAATAGATCTCCAGGAAAAAACATTAAGGAAAGATTCAGTGCCTTCTAAAGTGTTCAATGTTGCTCCTGGTGCTGAAAGGAAGATGGAAAAAGAGAGATTGATTGAACAAACAAGGAGCAATACAGAATTATGGTGATGAACTGAATTAGTCTTATTACTGTTTTTATTTTTCTAGCATCCTAACAGACTATTTTTATATTATTTAAATCATCTATTTTTTTAGAAAAAGATCTTTAATTTTAAAGAAAAGATTTCACTTTTTATGTTTCTTTCTTTTGTAATGTAAAAAAGAAGGGGAAAAAAAATCTTTTTCATTTTTTAAATTTTTGTTATCAGTTTTCCAGTGTTTATATCGAGTGTCGAAGTAAAGTTAATTAACATGGCTTTAGTTGTAAAATGTTTCTGGTATTAGCATGAAGAATATAAATTAATTTAAAAAAAATAAAAAAAAAGCATCTTATAACATTTTAAGTTTTTGAGGCAAAATGTGTTGATGTTCAGAAAATTGAATGGCTGCTCTTAACATACATCAGAGCTAAGTATGTTACAGTGTTATCCTTGCTATCAACTTGCTATCAAGAGCTTAAAATATATGGTACCAAATTTAGCAAGACCAACTTCTGTTGAAGCAATTATTCACGCATATCTGTGAGAAAAGCTAAGAGTTCATTAGATAAATTGCCTACAAGTGAAATGTAAACTCCTTTTTTGAATAATATGCCTGCAAGCTTCACTTTCGTAGAAGTCATTTCTATCTTATTTCAAATAAACTTGCCTCCTGCCAAACAAAGGACATCACATATTTGATACGATGGGGAAACAATACATTCGTTTTACTTAAAAGCTCTGTAACTGAAAATGTACAGATGTTAAATTTTGTTTGTATAAAGTAAAGGTAAATTTTACTATGTTTTCAAAAGTAATATTACATATAAATAAAAGTTCTTATTCTGTTTCATGCCAAATATGTGTAGATATCAATTGATTTGCTGTTACTGTATTTTTATAAACACATTGTGATCATACATATGTAAATTCAAATATAAATACATGTGGCAGATCGGGAGCTATATTTTAAAAATTTGATCTTTTATAAACTTTTAACTTTTTCTTATTGTTAGCATTTTTCTCTCGAGCTATTCCCATGTCGAATTTATGTACATATGTAGGGAGAAAACTGAAGTAAATCCCTGCCTTGTGTTTGCTTGTACAAATTATTTTGTATTTTCTTAAGTTTTGCTTTTCTGTTTTTATCCAAAATTATGTGTAATATCTGAAGGTGATTTTTATCCCTTATGCTAGTAGTGGTTATATATTTTTTTTTATTTGTTTATGATGCCAAAGATACACGAGCTTCATGTATGTTTTATACATTTCCAAAGCTCTACTTTAGTTGTGATTCTTTATTAGTTTATAAAAAAAATTGTTGAACATTACCAATTTTTATACAAAATGTGTATGTATAAATATGTTTGCAATATTGAGTTCATTATATGTAGAGACATATAAGAATATTATGCATTTTAACTGCCCCATTAAAATTGCATCTTAATTTAACTGAATTTCTAAACAAGCCATTCGGAACATCTTTGAACGCGCGAAACAATGCTCTATTTGTTAGATATAATGACTATTCCAATTGGTACACTTTTTTCTTGTGATTTACCTAATTGGGTTTAGGGTTGATTCAAAAAAAAAAATTCTTAAACTTAAAATTCTTGTACTCTTATTCTTAAAAAAATATATTTAAACCTGAGTGAAAAAAATAGTAAGCATGAATTGATGCATCCTTACCACAAATGTTTCAATTTTTATATCAATATAAATATTACTCATTTTATAATAAAACTATGTATAATCTTTAAATTAGAATTTTTTGGGGGAGAGTTGGCCTTAATAATAGTATTATAAAAAAAATCTGTAAAATACTGAGGGCTAGTTGAGGCTTGACGCAATGCACTGTTAAATACAGAATAAATAATGATGAATAATTTCTCAAAAGCATTCTTGTGCTCATATGATATTGAATTTTGTTTTTTATATTTGCGTACTATATTCTATATTATTAGTTGAAATTATGTCAAATTGTTCTTCATTATAAAAAAATATTAAAAATTGATTTTTTTTTCTATGATACCATAAAGAAAAATTTCTTTAATTTTACAGTTAAAGGCTTTGCCTTGTGATTTTATTTCTATGTCTTGAACTGTTAGAGCAGGAGTTTCCAACTTACATAAGGCCGGGGGCCACAATTAAATGGCGGGCCGCAACTTTATCAAAATTTTATGTAGGACTCTTTTATATATTACTGTCAGATTTTTACCAAGTTGTACAAAAGAATTGAATTACAAATTAAAATAAGTAGATTTTTAAAAATATTTAATTGTTATTAATATTTTTAAAAATATTTAATTGTTATTAATAATATTTTTAAAAATATTCAATAAATGATAAAAATTTGGGCTACAATAACTTTAATGTGCACCTATGAATTAAACAATTAAGGTGCAACAGATATCTAATGGTTAGGATATAAAACTTTAAAAAGGTTGGTATTAAAACTTACATAGCAGCACACAAAATATTCAATGACAAAAGTGAGGTTTTCTGCTGCAACCACCAGAGAATAGATATTTACATTTTAAATTTAAAGTTTACAAATATGTGTGTAAATATTTTCGTCTAAATTAGTGGTTTCAAAAAGTTAAATGGGAGAATTTCTTCGAGAAAATTTCTGATAAGCACATGCCAATTTATATTCACCAAATAGAAAAAAAAATGAAATAAAAAAGAGCAGCATACACGATTAGTTTTGTATTTGAATAAATATTTTCTTGGATGCAAAACCTGAAAAATAAAATTTTTTTTCACCGTTGGTATGTTAAATTTCACAGAAATGAAGAAATTAGGTTTTATTAACGAGAAAAGTATTTTAAACCCATATAGATTTTTTACGAAAATTTTCCGCTAAAAAGTGAACTAATATATTTTAGTTCGCGGGTTGGATGCGGCCCCTGGGCCTCCAGTTGGAAACCCCTGTGTTAGAGGATTGCTTACTCATTGCTATTAATAAATTATTTTGGATCATCCATTTTAATCATTTAATTTTTTAAAGAATTAAGAACTAATATTCATTTTATGATTATTTATAAAAACTGATTTCAAAATATAATGTTTTGATGCAAAAAAAATTTTTTTTTTTTATAAAAAGTTAAAATATATCATGCATTATCTTTTAAAAATGTATTTTATCAGTAATTTTGCCTTATGTTTATTAACATATTGATGCCTCAAACATTAAATATTATATTTAATATTATATTATAATAACTTATTATATTATGAATCTTAAAAGTTGTTTACATCCTAAAATCTACCTCAGATTTACATTTATTAAAATGAACATTTTTATTTTTTATAATCATTGACATTTAATTTACTAAAATATTATAAATCTATGCATGTCCATAAAATCTATATCTGTCCATATACTTGTACAATAATTCACGTTGATGTTATTTAGTTATAAATAAATAAGTTTTATTCGTTTGGTTTGGATGAAAATTAATTATCTTCATTTATTTGGCTAATGGTGTGCCATATATTAAATATTATGTTCAATAGGTATATTAACCTTAAAGTTGCTTATTTTTCATATGACTGTTAATATTTATAATAATTTCGACTCAAATAGTAATAAAAACCTATTTTGAATTGTACTTTCTTTATATTATCTTATCTATTTAAAGCATCGATATTGAAAGTAGATATATATTTAATAATTTTTGTTTTTCAATCTTATTATTTTTAAGTTCTAATGTGTAATTATTTCTAACTATTTCATTACAAGTCTATTTATCAAGATTCATTGTTGATTTTAATGTTTTATTTCTCGCTTTTAAATATAAATGTAGAGTGTTACGTGCAATCATATATGTGCACACTGATTTTATACCTCTTTATATTGTGCTAAATAGAAATATAAATTTCCTAAGTATTTATTTCACTATGTTATCGTATTGCATGTTATATACATCATATTCATCCTTTTATGTTTGCCGATTTTGAAATTCAATTGAATAAAAATGAAATGAGATAGGTATGCAAAGTTTGCTACATTAATCTTAGAGAAACTTAGTCTGTTAAAAATTAATTTCAAAGTTGTATTTAATTTTAATGTTTCAAAGCCGAAAACATGTTAATTTTGTCATCGAACTACAACATGTTATTGCTGCAATTATTAGTTACTTTGAAATCATTGTTTTATAGTCTTTTTTTTCTTCTGAATTATTAATGCTATGTTTCTTAACTAATTTTGAAACTTAGTGAGAATAATTCTTATTTCCTAAGCAGAGCACAAAGAAACTATGTTTCTTTCTCCTTCGATTTTTCTTAAATTGTTTTTTAAAATCTTCCATGTCATCTAAGGAACCATTTTCCGTAATGAATTTTTAAAATTCTTAAATCATTTGTACAATCCAGTTTTTTTAAGATCATCAAGTCATCTAAGAAAAAAAAGTTATTTTTCTTAAATTGTTTGTCAAGTCATTCTTTGAATGTTAGGTATTTAATATCACTAGCACAGACCTGAGAAATTATATTAACTTAAGTTTATGAAACGAAAAAGACGTTAATTCAAGATATTTTTCTCTTATTGACTAAAATTTATGTCATGTTGTTTAATGTCACCATTTCTTGTGTTTAAGTTAATTTTGATTATTTGTTTAAACGGATGAAATTTTATTCTTATAAATGTGCAATTCATTACCCCAAACACACTATTTCTTTTTATTATCTTCATGATAATTGAAATTGGGAGAAACCATTAAAATAATTGGCCACCATTAAAAAAAATTGGCAAAAATGAATAAAATTTTATTATTTAAAACATAACTAATATTATAATTTTAAATGTATTATATTAACAAAAGTTGACAAGGGATTCATACAAACAAAAATATATGTTAAAACGCAAGATTTTTCTAAACTAGAACAAAGTTTGATATTTTTTTTTTAATGTTTGTTTTGTAGCCAAGGAGAGGTAACTTGGCAGACTACGGCTTAATGATTTACCTATATTTCTTCTTATTGAGCAGCTGTATGATATCTTGTAATATTTTAACAGTTCAGTAAATAGTGCATTTGTTTTTATTGTTGAAATTTGTGTTTTTTTAATTGTTCCTAGAATATTTGTAACTGTAATTTGCATTAGTGTGTCTTATGCTTTGAGCAACTGACTACTTATATGCTGAGAACTTATAATTTTAAATGCTTATTTTTGCTTATTTTTGTTATGCAATTTTAATAATATTGCATTGTGTCCAAAGTTTTTAATTTTATTCTCAGTTTTAAACTATTATTTTCCCTATTTTTTTCGAACAGATAAAACTAGTGTATATTTGTGTATATGTTTATTGTTGATGTAGAAAATCAACTATCTAAAGATAAAATATGATAAGAATATATGTGCAATTAAATTCATATGTTTACCATAAAAAAAGGTGCTAAATATTAAAATATAATGAGCTTTTTCACTATACCAAAGAAAAGACAAAGTGCCTTTAATTTTCACTTTGCCTTGTTTAGAGACTTGCCTGTGCAATATATATATACATATATATTTTTTATTGTTTAATTAAATTAGCACTTCTTTAATTCTCACCGTCATATTTTATTCGAAGCCTTTGTACAATTAAAGTTGTCTCCACAAATACCTCATATGATTACAGTTGCTTGGGTTTTAAACTGCAGAAATTGATTATTTCCTGTG